TATATATATATATATATTTCAGTTTCAAAAGTATTTTTCAGTTTCAATTTTTTTTTGTTGAACAAAACATATGACCCCAATTTAGCTCCATAGGTTCCATTGGTTCATGAAGCCTTGTTTTGCCATCACTACAGATGAGACATGASATTGCTAGACATTTACTAGGAGAACTGTTGAATAATCAGGTGTTCGAGCAGTGGTGGAGGAGAGCTTAAATTCTGCAGATCACAGGTGAGTGGAATAATGCTTGATGAGTTTCAGTGATGGGTGGGGTGAAACAATGAGGAGGTAAACAAGGTGACATGACATGGAGATAAAAACAGTTCAGGCCGGATTCATGACAGGAATGAAATAAAAATGAAACTTTTTACATTTTTAAAATGTAAGAAGTAGAAGTAAAAAGTTATCTGAAATATAATCACTAGTGGCAGCTGTCAATAGGGGGCACTGGTTCCCCTCCCCCTGTAGTTTTGGTACACAAAAATAAATAAAATAAAATAACAAAAGAAAATGTTATAAATGTTTCGACAATATATCATATATATGTTTTCTGATAAGCAACATAAATAATTTATAGTTATTGATGAGTAAACTTCTATTTTACTCATGAACGTTTTCGTATGAGTCACTTCCGGGTCACGGCTGTGTTCAGCGCTACAGATTCCCATACACAAGTCATGTGAAGGTTTTGGACATGTGCTGTAAGTTCTCAATGCAAAAGTATAGGGTGGCCTGGGTTCGCAGCTGACCTGCGAAAACAGGCTGACCTCCGAACACACACCGGTAGTGGGTGGGTCCACCTGTGTCGGCGTCGACAACTCGACGTCAGCCATGTTGCATTTATTGTTTTAGGTTTGTCACACCATCTTGAGCCATTCACGAAACATCTGATCAGTGCTACACTGCTAGACAGATTCCTGCAGGACCACAACCAGTTCTCTGAAGTGGCAGTGAAGCACCTTCTCAGAGACTGTGAATCTGCTGAAGATTCTCATCATCATCACATCTCCTCTGACTACAGTTGAATCTGAGAGGAGTGTCTCAACACTGAAGAGAATCCAGACTTTCCTCAGGTACACAACATCACATCTCACTGCACTGACCATGATCCAGAGTCATGAAGATATTTGCTTCTCAGTTACAGAAGAGCAAAATTTYTATACATAAAATAAAATAAAACACTACATGACATTGTAATTATGTTTTATTATTTTCATTTATTTATTAAATACACTGCCGTTAAACAACTTAGCGATTACTTTTTGATATATGTCTATTTTGGAGTTTCAGCCCCCCCGGAGAAAAATCCACCAGCCGCCACTGAGTTCCATCACAAATAATTTGACGTAATAGTCAGAGCCACAGGCTTACCTGGCCCCACAATGCCTACGGCAAAACGGTAGGCCACATGAGGTCACATGATGAGCTGAAACAGTTACTGTACATAGTTTCATAACTTGTCAGGTTTTCTGTCAATCATTACAGATGCAGATTTGTGGCCGCTGATTGGTCCAAACTAACAGTAACCCACATGAGCTCACATAATCTGACCAATCAGAAGGTGTATTGTTAGTTTGGGGGCATGCACTTTGATGATGACTGACAGCTGCCAAAATGTTGGGTCAAGGAAGAAGTTTGTGAGCTGTGYTCTGGCTGGTGCTCAATAAAGTGAATAAACTGCATTTGTCAGAACAAATTTGAAAGAATATGAAGCCACGGAGCTGGTAGAATTTTCTGAACCTGTTGCCTGAAGATGAACCTGTAGAAGGATGATTACTGCCTCAAAAAGTCCAGAGAGAAGGAGGCGCGGCTCGCGCAGGTGGATGTTACGTTAGCAGGAGAGAAGCAGATAAATGAAGGAGTGCAGGAGGAGCAGAGAGGACTGCACTGGGGAGGGGAGATAAGTCTGGTGATCACCTGTAAAACACCGACCAGGGTCACTGAGACAACAGCATCGACCAACAGGTGCGTGGGTTGTGGGAGAAAACGGGACAGGGGTTGRAGTTAAATTTGATCAWCGTGGGAGCGTGCTGCGTGCTGCTTGAGTTTTGTTTTGATTTGTGTTGTCTGCTACTTTAGATTTTTGATTAACACTAATATATATGTATGATCAGTGTTAAAGCAAAGGTGTGTCTCCATTTAACAATTTATATCTGTCCCCAAAACTCATAATATTTTTTGTTAAAGTGAAACTTTTTAATGTTTGTAGTTTATCATAAATTATCTATAAATATGGATCTTTTTATAAGACATAATTTTGTCGATTTAGATGACTTAAATTTGTTCAGTTTGGAACCAAATAGTGGCATGACTGTACTTTGATCAATGCATTTAATGATCAAATACAGTATGAAAAATATGTAAATTATAGGTTTTATTATATTGATTCTGTTAATTTTGTTTGCTTGTATTATTACCAATCCTGCGGTTTTTAACATTCAAATATTTTTATGACAAAAAGTTCAAATTTAAGTTGTGATTTTCAAACATAATGTCATCACAGTGTGATTGTTCACTGGTCAAAGCTTAAAGTGATAAAACTTGACACTGAATGGGTGATTCTGCCTTTATCTGGTGTTATATTCAAAAGGGTGAAATTTTAAAACTGTAGCAAAGGTAATCCTGATGTTAATATCTGTGCAGACAGGTGATGTTGATTTATAGGGTTGTGAGTGGGGGGCAGGGCCAGCCCTAGACATTTAGGGCCCCTAAGAAGGATGTGTATCTGGTGCCCTACTTTGCCATAAGTAAACAGTAAGACATGAAAAACCAAATGCTGTGTGTAATTATAAATCTTGTGCATAAAATTCTACCTGATCATATTGTAGTGTAGTTTAATGCTAACTGGGCACACTCACTAAACGCTGTATGAGAGTGAGTGGATGGGTAAATGAGGACACAGATTGGATAGTTAAGCACTTTGAGCATCCTGGTTGGTTAGAAAGGTGGTGTGTAAAAACAGTCCATGTATCCTTGATTGGTCTGAAGGGGGCTCAGTGTTAAAGAAACTTGTAATATGAGATTCATTTTGCATGACCACTACAGGATTCCAAACCTGGGAGGGGGCGGGGTAGAGGACCCCTTAGGCCCCGGGGCTAGAGGACCTCTTAGCCCCAGGGCCTACCAGGAGGTTAAGTAGGCCCTGGTAATATTTCAGAAAAAGTCATAGAGAATAAAGAAAACTAAACAGGCTGGAAAATATGAAACAATCTAAAGATATCTTGCAGGACCAGGAGAGACTAAGTTAAACTTTTCTGCACTCCTGGAGACTCCAAGTACACAATAAAATGCATTTAACAGCAAAACATTTAACAAAAGGATTTTGCATGATATGTGCCCTTTAACAATAACAGGAAACAAGTGGATAGGGCAGGATTGAAGAGCAGGAGCTAGCTGAGGACAAATATTAAGAAAAGGCTTGAAACAGAGGAAGACACTGAAAATATTAAAAGAAACATGTGAAATAAAAAGCAAAAGAAGCAACATAACTAAACCATGAGTATCAAAAAGCAGAAGAAACAGTGCATTTTCCAGATTATTAGTCGCTTCAGAGTATGAACTGCATTAGTCAAAAAATGTGTCGAAGAGGAAAAAAAACATGTATGAGACCCATCGGAGTATAAGTCACAGAACAGATATTTAATTTGGGATAACACAATAACACAGACAACATAGGTCCTGCCTGGGATGTGAAATAGCCTTAATTAACACAGACAGATGACACAGATTACATGAATCGTTTGCAACGACTGAAACTTTTTTTTCACACAAGTTCAATTAAACAAGACATGCAGTGAGAGTAATATTACTAATTCCAATAATGCAATTTAAAGCTTGGAACTCCACACATCTTCAACTACAAAATAAAAGCCCTGTTGCTTTGTCTTTTTAGGTTTGTCAAGTCCTGGATGACTGAGAATCTCCACAAATGTGATACATTTTGACGGGATCAAAACTTGTGTTTGTTGAGTAGATGGGAAGATAAAGTGTAAACATTGGACAAAACAGGTAAATATTAATTTAGTCCTATCTGACTGCAAACTTCAACACTGACATATGCTAACATGTATAGCATTTATTTGCCTTTGTAAACACAGCACACTTCATTAGACATTGTGTCTTCTGCACATACAGGTCACTTTTACATTAGGCTTAACAAATTTTATCATCTTTTAGCTTTTCACCAATATTGTCCCACACAAACACAGTGTTTGTCCCACTTTATGTGTTTCTGTGTCTCCAAACATTGACGTGCTTTGGGAGTACATGGTGAGACTTTAAGGTGTTGCCATCACAAGTCAGAGGTAATAGTTTTCTCAGCAGCCACAGGCAGCCAGCCACCTGCCAAGCAAGAACCTACGCCACCAAAACAGACACACAAACGAAATCACKTATCCACATCCATCATGGTGGCCAGGCCAGGACAGGAACATCATGACTCCAACTGTCACAAACCCAAGTTTATGCTCTACTGCTCCAACAAGCCAACTATCATCTCCAAACACCTTGCGTGTTATCTCTGTTCTCTGTGGGTGATTTTTAGTCCACATTATTTTCTCTTAAGGAGTATCCTGCTTTGATTTACACAGACATGCATATCATTTGATTTACAAGTAAATAAATGGGTATTTTCAAACAAGCCACTAGACTGAGATAGCAATGACACATTTCAATAAAAACAACAAAGCTTGTCAGACTGATTATATTGATTCTACATACTAGTAACATTTAATAATTTAATAGGGACTGAGAAAAAATACCTAAAGTTGTTGAGGATTGGGGATAGAATGAATGCAAAAATAGCTGTGGGCATTTTAGTGGCAAATAATGCTCCCTGACTTTTTTTGGGGACTCGATCTTAAAATGCAAAAAATAAAAAATATTAAAAAAAATTAAAAAATATAATAAAAAAACAGGAATAGCTTTCTGATACAAGCATCACAGCTGGGATCACTTTCTGTTAAATTGCAACAAAAAAAAAACAGTTGCACTGGTCTGACAAATTATCAAGAAGCCTGATGAATATTGAACATACCCTCACATACTGTTTCTTCCACTCCCTCGTTTTCTCTCCCAGCCACGGCCTGGCCTGAACTGAGTCTCTTGGGTTCCTTAGTTGGTCAGATCATTAGTTGGATGACCCATAAGAAAAGAGAAAAGGAGCAAAGGGTTAGCACAGGAAAAAAAACTAAGCAATAAAGAGACCGATGGTCAGGGTGGGAGGGACGACAGGGAGAGTTGAATGGAGATACACCATGCAGGTAGTAGTGCACCGTGTCGGTGGTACTACTGCATGCCAATTTACTTACCCAGACCCAGAGCAAGCTGTGACCCCCCAGTGCATGCAGACTACAGCATATAAAAATGTTCTCAGCCTCACCTCATTTCTCCCTGCTCGGCACTTCTTCCAACTCATAAATAAATAGCTGATTGTCTGGGATCACCAATGCATGTGCAGCCTCTGTGCATAATCCTGCTTCTCTGCACCAGTGTGCAATCATGATCAGGTTACACTAGCAGTTCTTTCTCCGGGATTTTTAATCTAATAGAGCCTGTTACCGAATGAAATAAATAAATAAATAAATAAATAAATAAATAAATCAGCTACAGGCAGCATCTCAGAAATAAAATCTGCAGGGACAGCAAGTCTTCTCTTAAACAACAGGCAACAGGAAAGCAGTTATCTAGCACAGTATTTCCCAAAGTTGGGGTCGGGACCCAAAGTGCGGTCCTGAAACATCAAGGTGGGGTCCTGAAAAGATTTTCTGAATRAATTACATTTTTGCCTTAGTTGTTACAAATGAGTGAGGTTAGTGTATTTAAAATGGGTAAATGTTGTAAAAAAATATTGTTACTATGTCCATGTTTAGTTGACCTGATACAAATATTTATCATCCAAAAATAGTTGGGGGCACAGGTCTGTGCTACTGTTGTTTTGTGGGTCAAAAGCTGAAAAGTTTGGGAACCAGTGCACTTTGGTTCCCAAAGTTGGGCTTGGGACCCAATTATGGGTCATGAAGTACCTTGGATAATCTCCAGAAATCAATTTAAAGGGTAATAAAATAATTGCTGATGTAATATTTTCCCTGTAATTATTACAAAAACACAAAATAAGTATAAATAAGTATTTATATTTGTGTACAAACTGTTTAGATTGTCAAAAAGCCTGTGTTTTTAGGGTTAATAACGAAGTTTGTATACTCAGACCAGTAATATTTGGGGTCACAAGCTTTTGCCATGGATATTTTGTGGGTCAGAAGATAAAAAGTTTGGGAACCACTGATCTAGCAGATATGACACAAGAAGAAAAACTGTGCACATACAGTATATTTTCATGCGATTTTATATATTATAGTTAAATCTGGTATATTTTACTTTTTGATAGCTTTTAAGAAGTTTTGAACTAAGTTTGTATAAATAACAGTGGTGAGACAAAGCATCTGTTGGCCTAAACACAATCTGAATCACTAGATTTCATTTTGGAATATTTTTTATTTATTAGTTATTAAATTATTATTGGCCATTCTTATTTTTTAAACATGTGTTCTCTTCGTTTCATAGCTTTTCTCCTGGGTGTGCAGTTTCCAGTAGCTTGTATTTATAAAGAGCTTTTATCCAATCATATTTCGAGCATCATCTGTTGTTACGGTCCAGAAATCTGCCTCAGGCCTTCAGAACGAACAGCAAAGACACTGGGAGGATGAAACAAACAGCAGTGAAGCTGCTGCTTTGACCAATCAGGCACTGCGATGAAGACACCAGAGCCTGCTAACTGACTTCAGACAGCGTCAACATTTTCATGTCGTTTGATTGGCTGATCAGAGAGCATGATTCAGGACCGAGAAACTAGATTTATGTAGCGTCTTAGAAGCTAAATGCCGAGTGGACATTCTCAGCATTACAGAAAATTAAAATACAGTAGATGACAAAATTACAGAACAGACTGGACTTTCAGGGTCATGGTGTTGATAGAAAAATACTTGACGTTGAGTCAGATTCTTCTTGAGGAAAAAAGGAGGATGGAGTTTGTAAACAGATAAAAGGTTTTGGTGAGTGAGATATATTTTATTTAAATGTTTTATTTAGTTGTCCGTCTATTATATCTGTATTGATGCTGTTGTTGCTTTTGCTAAATGTACGTGGCACAGCTGGGGCTGGAGTTGAGAAAACGTGTTAAATGTGTCACTTCAGTAATGAATTTGTGAGGGTGTGCAGGCAGAATGACCCAGGGCGCAGGCAAAAAAATCCAAAGTTCAAAAATAAAGAATTTATTAAACAAAGGTGGGCTGCTGGAGCAYCAAAATACTTACAAGAATTCTCAGGTAAAATGTAGGCAAGAGGAACACAGAGGACAGTGACACTGACTGTGAAAACAGTACAATGATCAGGCACAGACTGAGGATGAGACACCAAATATAAAGGGAAACTAATGAGGACAAATGAGAAACACCTGGAGGAGACACAAGAGGATACAGGTGAGTGTGGGCGGGGCTGTAGGGCAGAGAAACACAGGGGAACACTGAAACACTAGAAAAACCAAGAAAACAAACAGACTGTGACAGAATTTCATTCTGGCTTCTTGAAAGCCTGTCTGTTGTGCAAAGACACCTGTCTGCAGCTGAGACACATGTCTGTGGTGCAGCAGCATATTATTCTGTGTTTCTGTGTATTATTGGTGTTTTTTGTAGCCATGGCATTGTGTCAAGTTGTACAGATTGTCTGCAATTTAGGCAGATTTTCCCCTGTTTTGCATACAGACCTAGGACTGTCGTATAGATTTTTTTTTTTACTTCAAAGTTATTAAGTTTCACAGCTGGCAGCCTCTTCTCGCTCCCTGCTTTTTCTGCTGCTGCAGGCCGGCAGAAAGAGCAGTAGCTTGTTTTTATTTAGAGTTTTTATCCAATCCATGCATCTACATGACCAGCAGGTCCGTTCTCCCCCCATTGAAGCCCTAGGTGTAAAATGCATGACCCACCACTGATACATAATGAACATCGGCCTGTAATAACTGTAGTATTTATGGGTTGTATTGCAAAAATAGTGACGATAATAATAAGTAACTTGCTTGGCAGATATTGCACTGCTGCTCTCATCTGCTCTACAATGCTCAGCTCTCATGGGTCAGAACAATCAGGATACGCATGTCCTGCACAAACAACWCCAGCATGACAGGAAATGTCATGGCAGTTTTGGTGAGAGCTACCATTTACAAGGCCAAACATGGTTACAAAAACAACTTACCAAGACTAAAATCACAGAGACTACAGTTACAACAGAAACTTTGATAGAGTAATGTTTAGACACCTTCCTAAAAGAATCGCATCCTTTCTTTTGCAAAACTGACTTTTGCATAAACTATCTTCTTGTGATGCTGGCATGTGTTAAAACCACCTATACTCTCAGTTGACCAAATCATTTGATTCAACCTCTTAAGGTAACGGCCTGTGTAGTGATTGTGAATTACGCTGAGCTAAGTTTTTTGTAATTCCTGAAAAATGGGAAAAACAATTTAGATGATTATTTTAGGAAGGTTTGATGTCTAAAGGCTGTTCATTTTTTTGTTTTGTTTTTTCAAGATCTAGACCTAATTTGAGGTATCAGCGTAATCTGACACCAATGTTAGCTGGTGTAGATTCTCATCCATCCATGATTTAGCAAATACAAAAAGTAAAAAAACAAAAAAGAATAGATAAATCAACTGGAATTCTATTCTACTTCAAAACATGTGAAGTTCCAAGCTTTAGACTGCATGATGTTGGTATCAATAATGTCAATATTTGGGTCATTTCATATACCCCTATCTCAATGAGGTAAAAGTGGGATAAAACGATGCATGGCCGTTCAGACTGAGATCGCTTTGAAAAACATTGGATATGAATCCAATTTAGTTCCACATATGAAAGTGACCTAGGTCAGATTTGAAAATAAAAAATCTGATTGGTCACGTTCAGACTGTCATGAAAAAATCTAATATTGGTCACATACAAACAAGAAAAAAAAGAAGGGATTTGGGTCACTTTWGCCTGGAGCTTACACCTTTTGTTGGTGTGTGAGAGAACATAAAGGGTTCGCAAWTTTTTTAAAAGAAATGCACCTCTTGTTTCTCCTGACTTAAATCAAGGCCCTTATCATCAAGTCACTTTTTTTGCTTTAAAGGCAGTGTGTAGGATTTTGTCAAGTCTTTTAGCTGAAAATGAGATAATCACTGATGACAATAATAAAAAAAAATGTCTAATCATTGCAGACAAAGACCTTGTTTTATTATTTTTACCTTATAAAAAGCTGTTTATATCTCCATGGTCGCTACACAGGCAGCCGCCATCTTACACCACCATCTTGTCTACGAAGGCTCATGAAGGACAAACTGCGGTGGTGGCATCAAAAACGGTTTTAGTTGTAATACTAGAAATGTAATATTTGTTGTCTGTCATCATAGCTGGGATAATTTTACTTATTAAAGCTCATAATCTTACCACTTGAAACATCACTAGCCCTGAAGCTGCTGGTAGACATCGTGGTTGGAATTATCAAAGGTTTTTGACACCTGAGAGACACCGTAGCTACTCCTTTGCGTTTGGAAGCAGGGGGTGGGGGTGGGGGGAGGACCAGGGAGGATGATTCAACCACTCAACCACTAGATGTCACTGAAAACAACAAATCCTACACACTGTGCCTTTAAAGCCCTTTTTTCAATATTTTTTTCACAAAAATATTATCCCCATACAAGTTACTAAAGGTGACAGAATTAATTATTTTTAACCAGAACCTCACAGGAAAACAAGCATTTAAGACAGCTTGAAAGTTATTTTTGTATGTGTGTGATGTTTTATTTTCTGTCTGCTCATAGATGTATTTATTTCAAACCAAATGGGGCTGGTGTTTTAAACTTTTGCTTTAAAGTCACATATTCAGCCATTTTCTAATGTAAAAATGTGAAGTAACACTCGTGTTTTCTGATACCACACTTCTATTTTCTGCCATTTGGAAGTGCAGATCTGAGAAAAGACCTAGCAAAGAGGGTGTCACAGTTAATGTTCCAGGGTAAGATGTTGGGCCAAGCTTTTCCTCTGATGTGACAGTTCTAGGCCTCAATCTGGAAAAGCCTACTGTT